GCATGAAACATATATGCATATTATATATGCATATTCTATGTATAATTTTCGCTACTCAAAATACATTACCCTCCCACCAATCAACATGGAACCTGAGAGGGGTCCCTTTAAAAGGAAAAGGCCTTGCAGGGAGGGTATCTACAATTTTGTTGGTTGATGAGCGGAGAGGGGCAGTTTCCGAGTTTCTAGGCTGGGGCAGAATCCGGGCAATCGCACACCACGTGATTGCTGCTTTGGCAGCAGTCGTTGACATCGCACTTTGGCATATCATTGGCTATTTTGTGCTTGATCAGCCACAGAGGAGCTTCTTGGAACTTTGGCGTTTCTGTGATCAATCCTTGGACGTTTGTTTCAGGCATGTTCAACGGAAAGCGATGCTTTGTTGCTGGGGCCCTTTTTGTTTCACCTGTGAGTGGGCTAGCTTTGTGTCCAGAGCCACAGGCTGGACATGCCAGCGTTAGCCACTTTTATGTTTTCAACTAAGACCGACTGGGGGCTGACTTGTGTTTGACCGGTCAGTTGGGCGCAAACAGTTTTACTTTTGCGTGGCCACGAAGGATTGCGCTCGCTACACCTGAGGATTCCTGAAGTCTGTGAATGAACATGTTGCTTCACACAGCTGTGGCTGTAGCTTGTAACGACGTGGGTTCTTCTCAAGGGCGAAAACGATTCCCCTCTAAGAATGGGCCGAAACGTGGCCCCGACCCTAGCCTTTAGCTGTGATCCGGGTTCGACATGAATATAGAGAATGGGGGGGTTGAGCCCAACTTGGGTATGTTTTTTTCTAAGGATGTCACCTCCCATGGTGGGGTTGGCACCCCCCATTTTCTAAATTGTGAATAAACAAAAATGGGTCTGGTCAGGAAGGGTCCTAGGTTGGTGCCCCCCATTTTCTTTTATAAATTTCTCAGTCTGATTGGTTGACCCCATTTTCTAAAATAGACCGAGTTGGAAGACCCCATTTTCTCAAAGAGCAACTATTTAGTTGCCAGCTGGTTGAAAGAGAAGCCAGAAAGAAAAGCCCACGCTGCGGCTCAACGGGGATTTCAGCCCACAAAGCCGCAAAACGGACTGTCCGGTTTCCCTTTGTCTTGACCCTCAAATGGGATAAAAGCGCTTTGTCGCTCATGAAGAAAGCACGCCAAGTACAGAACTACAAATAATTATTTGCTGTTTGAGGGTCCATGCCGCTACAATCCATCCAGACTTGGGCTTGCCATCTCAGAATAATCTTCACGAGGCAGCCGTTTCTTCACGAGGCTGCCGTTTTCGTTTTTCATTGTGAGGTTGGACCCAAGTTTTCATTTATTGGGGGTCGGCCCAGCGCCACATCGGACCGAGGTTGGCCCCCCCCACTTTCTAAATTGAGCATGTTTTATGAAGATGGGGTCGGCCCACCGTTTTCTGGGTTGGACCCCCCATTTTCTGCTGCAGAAAATGGGGGGGGTCCAACCCCACCCCCCAACACCAGACCCCTATAGCTGTGGTTTTAGAATGTTTAGAGTTGTGAGCGGCCAGGTGGACGTGCACATGTTCAAGGTCTTGTGCGCGCGCGCCGAAGAGCTCATTGAGAACCACCGCTTCCGTCAGGCGTGAGAGCAGGGAGTGACCGAGTTCGTTTGAGGTTTTGGTGTATCGCGCCACACCCCACGCTTTCGCGGCTCCCTTGAAAGTCTGGGGTACCGACAAATAACACGGTTGAGCACATGAAGTTCGACTCAGGCAGCAGTCCCAACCACCTGGATCAGGGTGTTCAGCGATTGTGACGGAGGATCTGGCCTCGGATGCCAAAGCAGGTCTTGAAGTGTGTAGCTATCACACCATGTTTATGGCGCTCAGGAAAGACCTGGGAATTCAAAGTTGCACAGAGGCTTTCAGGGCCTTTTCAGGGTGGCTCGAGGGGATTCCTTGGGCAATCCAAAGCCTAAAGCTGGGAGGCCTACGAGCAGCTGTGTCGCGTGCGGCCCCGCCTGGGAGGCACGCGGCCCGGAGTGCGGGGATTCGGCATGAAAGATATGGGAGTGTTTCAAGCTATTGACTCCTACGGGCCTTCCTCGGACACAAATGGGGTGCCAAGAAAGGGAGCCCTGAAGGCTGGCCCAGATAGAAGGAATTCCTTGTTGGAGCAGCACACTGTTGTTTGCTGCTGCAGGCAGCATATCGGAGGTTGCAGCCTGCCCAAAGCAATGCCCGGTGTTTGCAAGTGCAAAGCAAAACATGTCTAATAATTGTCAGACAAAGAAAGGGATTGCTTGAAGCCTTCAATCCTTTCACTTTCAACTTTCTTAGACATGATGCATATTGTCGCCACTTCACTGTTTTTCGGTACAAGCTGTTGGGTGCAGCTACAGTTGTCAGAAGGCCGAAGAGGGGACGGTCAGCCTACATGGATGCCACTTCACTAGTGCCTGGAATTTGTTGTCCCGCCTATTCCACTGGGAATTTGGTGACACCTCTGCGTAACATTGTCATGGGGGCAAGCAGACGTGAGGATGTGGGCTTACATGTTCGTCTGGTCAGGAGAGGCAGTGTCGCCTCCAGCCCGGGAGGCCTGAAGGGTGTTGGCCGATTGGTGAAGCAGACTGTTTGCCGGTGCCATTGGTTCGGCGGCGTCCATTTCTTGTTTGTTGTGCCTGGATCCCAGGAAGCCAGCATGTTTCACCGTGGCCACTGTGCAACTCGGCAGAGCCCTTGAAGGTCTGGCCGCAATCCCGAATCTCAAGTCATACACCTGTCAGAAGCCGTTCCCTTAGTTTCCTGCACCTGTTGTGTGGCAGGACATGTCAAGACTCAGCGTTCGGTTGGGCTTAGCATTGTGGCAAGACGACTGTTGTTCACATGCACATACAGGCACCAATGTTGATACGTCTATAACTTGGTTTGGCGAAACCTCATGTTTGTGGCGTTTGATCATCATTTGGTTCGATGTTTGCGTTTATGATTTTGCTGGACGGATCCTTACCATGTTACTCATGTTGTGAACTCGGCCGAATCTAGCATTCAGCTCAATATGTTGTCAGGTCATGAACGTATGTGCTAAGGCGCATGAGGACTCGAGGCAACTTTGTATGTGGCTACAGTTGAGCATCAATGGGGATCCAAAACAATGGCTGGCAATGGGTGCTCGCGAACGCGAAAACGAAAGCCGGCAAAATCTTGCAGCGAAAGTGGTCGTTGAAGAACCCGCCGTGAAGAAGTTTCGGGCGGTGCTGGTCATTGCGGACAGCATCGAGTCACTTTTGAGCTCAGCCGAAATCCCAAACACTGCCGAATTCTTCGAAAGCTCCCGCGAAAGTTCCAATTGCCCCATGACAGGAAAAGTAGGCAAAATCATCGCGAAAGGTTCCGCGAAAGTGGTTTGTTAATCAAAGGGTTTATGCACCATGCATTTTGATTCCCGGTCTTTTGGCGTTCCTGTAAGAGCACTTAGTTCCGCAGAGGAGGGGGGGGAATTCCAGGTAGCTGCCAGGCGCGCTCGCCTGGGATTGGGGCTGGGGGCGGTTGCACGGCGTGCGGACCGCGTATTTTTTGCCGCGAGAGGTTTGGCCTCAAAAAGTGTGTACAATTACAAATTTGTGCTACCCATCCGCACACCAAACAAGGACACCGAAAGGGAAAGCACCCTACTGCACCCGCCTACAATGCAAGCTGGCACAAGGCCTTCAATGTGTGAAACAGCACGCCTCTGAAGGGCGTTGCTTTGCCAGCATTGGTGCCATTTAGCATACCTCAGCACGACACCTAGCATGTCACATGTCCTCGGAAGCTTCGTTAATTTTGACATTTTGTTGAGATAGGCGTCGGTTTGATTTTGGGCTGTCATGTAGAATTGAGAGCACGATGATGCAAAGCGTGCACTCCAATCTTTGGGCCCTGTCGTTCAGTCGCTACTCGTAGTGTTGGCTGAATCGGAGAGTGGCATGGTCATGGTCGCTGCTTCATGTGAGCGAGATTGAAGTTTTGGGGGTATGCCAGCGGGAAGCGATTGCAATGCGAAAGCCAGATTTGATGATCTCGTGTTCTCCTGATCATTTGCAGTAGACGAGGATGTTCCATTGGTAAATATATTTGAATTGAGTGAGCCATGACACCCATAGTTGGCAGAGTTTTGACCCCTGCAAAGCTATAGGAACTGGTCAAAACTAAAAGCTGGGGACGCCTCCAAGTAATTGGTTTTCATTTTGGTGTCCCTTCCGAAGCCGCCCTCAAACTGAGCTAGTCCACGCGTTGTGTGTGAAAGTATACGCCCTGTCCAGTTTCCCCCGCTCCAGGAAATCCTGCCGGAGCCTCAGCTCCGAAAGTTGGTGGAAAGGCAGCCGAAACCCTCTGGTTACGTCCCATGAGCATCCAAAATCCGGGGAGGGGGGTGCCATTCGTTGGGTTTGTGTGGAAGAGAGCAGAATGAAACATACCAGTTGGAGGGGTCCGTTGAGCTTACATTGTTATGCAATATTGTTGAGCCTGTTGGCTTCCTTTTTGTTCTATGCTGCTTCCCTGCAGATTCCATGCCAGAAAAGAAGCCCAAGCGTGTGGACACCCATCGAAGTGCCACTACTGGGGCTCAAGACAGGACAAGTACGCGCTGCCATCAGAGCCGGATTCCACATGAGAGACGTCAGTGTCACGTCGACTGCGTAAGCTAAGCAAACCTACACGCGCCGCAAGGCGCAAGGAAAGCCTCCACATGTGTCGCGTAAGCGAAGCATGTGCGTAAGACATTGTGTCAGCGGCGTAAGCAAACTGATGTGACAAAGCAAATCAGCACGTTTAGGACCTGCCTCGCGTGACATCGCCAACAAAGAGTTGCATGCCAGGGGATCCCAACTGTTGCTTGCCGGCTTGACAGATCTTCAAATGGTTCTGTTGTTTGAAGGCCTCTGCAGCCTTTTCTGGGATGTTTGGAAGGGACACCAAGGCAGGGTCCTCCAGACGCTACAGCCAACCCAACGATCTGCCAACCCCGTCGCCGGCGCCTGGCCGAGCCTTGCGCACCGGACGCCATGGCGTCCGTGGCGGTGGCGCCCGTGGCGAAGCGGGCGTGGATGCCCGGAGTGGATGCCTTTTGGAGTCAGGTTGGAAGAGCCGACGGGCAGCATTGCTTCGGCATTGCACGAAGGCGTTGCTGCCAGGGGCGAACCAGATGTTTTGATACACCCTGTTAAGGGGAACTTTGCATAAACTGACATGTGTCATCCTGCTTACCCCTGTCTCCTACACCGCTGTGGGCCAGACGCATGAGGTGCCAAGTGCGTGGTGCAACGTGGTGGAACGACTTATTTGTTTGAAACTCGCTGCACAATCCAGCGCTGCTACGACCCCAAACGGAAGGTCAATGGGTGCATTCTGCTTGAGGCTTGAGGGGAGAAGATTAGCGACTCTGGGACAGTGTGACTGAGAGCTTCCAATGGGCCGGCTGACAGGTTTGGATTGGAGCTTCACACTTGACTCTAGGTTTGTTCCTTGAGTGAAAACATGTTACCTTTTGTGCTGGTGTTGTCATTCTTGTGGGCTAAACGTTTCTCAAGGATCAACCTCAGGTAGGTATTCCTGGTCAGTGCTCATATTGGACAGTGCACATTTGCATTTCCATCATGTTAAGTATCTGCACATATTGTACTCACATGTAAGCATACAAAGCGGGGCTCAGGCAACTAATGTAATGTTTTTTGTGTTGCGAAGAGCGCAGAAGAGACACAATTGAACATCACGGATCCACTTTTCAGGAGCTAGGGAATCTTGAAGTTTGAACAACCCTAGGTATTCTAGCTACCCCTTTCCGGAGGCAGAAGGAATAGGAAGAATAGCATTAAGTAGACATGTGGCATGGAGTGTCCTCTAGTCTTCAGAATGCTTTGATTTGATTTTCCGGTTTTCTCTTTGCACGAAGAGCCTTCCAAGGTCCTTTGCGAGGGCTGCCAGAGGCCCGTCAAGCTTTGCCTTTGCGCCTTGGTTCAGCGCGACAATGGCTCGGGCTTTTGCACATCAACTGGGACATGCCTTGTTCTATGAACCCCCTGACAACTTCCCCCCGATCGCGATGTGTTCCGCAGCCGATGAAGACCGCGCATGCCTTGATTTCCATGCTTCATTTTTGTGTATGAGCTGCACCCGCCTTTTCCTGCCTTGTGGCTTGGCAAATTAGAAGCCTGGAAGCAGGGTCAAGTGGCCCCTTGCTACATGTCTCCTGTGGCAATAGATGCAGCAAGGGGCATGGTTTTTGAGCACTAGGAGCTGACTTGGTTGCATTCGGCTGAGAGAAGAAGCTGCAGGTTAGCTGAAGCGTGACGGGCAGTCACGCCTGTGGCAAATGCGTCGGCCGAGCGCTTGCCTGCTGAGGTGAATGTTTGCCGCCCGAGCCGGTGCAGACACGCACCCGCATAGTCGTGCTGGTGCACCCGAAGGAGCATGCCCTTATCACGGGATAAGGGTCATTGTCGGGACCCCGGCGAAAAACCCGCTGGAAGACTATGGCGCCTTTTATGGGTATCCTTTGTCAACTTATATGGGGTGGTTACACTAGAGGTCTTCACTTTCCATATTATCTTCTTGTTGACCAGCACCACGGTTCCCTAGTAGACCTTCTTGAATCCTCAACCTTTCTTTCACCATCTCGCACTTCTTGTGGTTGCGGAGGTTCACAACATGCAGCCCTCATAAACAAATGTATATAATATCTATGTATACACCGATGCAAGCCTCACCAACTCACAGATCGTCTGGTGCCTGGTGACCTCGTTTATGAGTTCGCAGTCAGTTTTCTTTGTTCCTCAGGAGATGCGGAGGAAGCTCGGCACACTGCCGTTGCTGAGGCTGGGAGCCCTCAAGATTGAGGGGGCTTTCGCTTTCCAATTGAACAAACCCCAAAATGGTGTCGCCAAAATTCAGACGCCCGCTCACGAACTGGGGGTGGCTTTGTGGCTTTGCCCCCCGACTACGAACTGTCACCCCATTTTGGGGGGCTATTGTAGTCGTGGTTCACCTAGAACTTATGCACTTCCAGTTTTGACGCCGCCTGTGAAAACACAAATTACAGTGCGGAACACCCAGGTTAGGACATTGGGGCCGGCGGCCAGTTGATTGGAGTGGAGCCACTTTATGCAGCTGGAGCTGGCAAACAGTATTTACAAAGCAGGTCCCTTGCTAAGTCCAGCTCCATGGCATGAACTGCCAGCTCGGATGCCATGCAGCTTGCAAACGGGGTTTGCAATTCCTCTAGATAGTTGAGAGCTGTCAGCAATGGCGCAAGAGGCGCTTGAAATCTAGGCTTCGAAATCAAAGCTGATTCGCCAAGCTGCATGTGCTGCTTCCCTCGCACACAATTCGGCAATCTGGTCTTGCACAAATTGCGGCTCGAGTGCAATAGATTTTCCCCGTTGTTTCGTGCCCCCCCTTTTCCGGTTTTGTTTGGTGGGTTCCCCACTGTGGTCAACCCATGAAAAGGGTTCCCGATTTGTACCAGGGTCACTGGCCAACTGGGTCTTCTGCAACACGCTTTGCAGGCTTTGCCTCAAGAACCTCGTCATCCACGAAGGCGCCGCCAGTTGGACGTGCCGTTTTGATTGAATGGCCCATCCCGCTCTCCGTCTTGGATGGCCCACCTCTCAGGGTTTGCGACAGGCGATTGCTTTGGCTTCAGGGGACCCCCGGGGAGCCAAGAGGTAGGCGAGGTGTGATCATGGACTCCAGGATCACATCAAATAGTCAAGTGTCAGCAATGTGTCTTGCCTTCTCCGCATCGCATCCTGCAATTGACGCTTTGTGCACCGCCCACTCCGAGCGGAGCTGAAATGTTACAAAATAGATTGTTTACTACCGGGATCAGTTCAAGACAACCAGGTTGTAGAAGGTACCAGGTTAAGCAAGATTGATCTAATAGTGTGTTATGCCAAACGTAGAACCAGCGTGGTACCAAACGTCGATGGGCGCTGCTTCCCCCGTCTCCGCGAGCCACACGCCGCGCACGTGCGCGAGGGGATTGCTTCCCGGAGCCGGAGGAGGACCCGGAGCTGCACGCGGCGCTGCTGGAAGAGCACCAGCGGGGATCCCAGGTAAAAATGTGCCGGTAGGGTGCCTCCAATTCTGTAGGTACTGGTAGGGTAGGGTTCTCTTTTTGGCTTCCCTTCAAAAGGGAAATCCTCACTAGAAACATAACACTGGCAGTAGTACTAGTAGTCTGAGACTGTGGTCTGTTTGGGATGCGCATGGGGGAACGAGCTCTAAGTTTCAACCACAAAACTTGGGAACTCATGTCCTGCTGGGCAGACAAATCGTTTTGAGCATGCCTCAAATGCCGATCTGGACAACTTATAACGAGCTCACTGGGGAGTAAACAACATGCTCACACATGAGGGTCCCTTACTGGAGGAACTTGCGGTTTGTGAACTAGCGCCATTTGCCAAGAAGCATGATAGGTTGCCATAAACCCTCGCCCATCTCGGGGCTCCTGAGCAAGATTCGTGCCTTGCCTGCACGACCCATGATTTATGATTCCCCTATACAGAGATCATTTATATTGCGTCAATCCAGGAGCACCTAGACCCAACGGACCGTCAAGTGGGGTTACCTTTCAAGAACGACAATCATTTGGGAGGTTGAGAAAAGTTGCAGACCCCAATAATAAGGGCCCCTCGGAAAGGCCGGCCAACACGAAACCGGTCCGCAAGCCTGAAAACACAGGTTGCGTCGATGCGGACGATCCAATCTGAGGCCCATGTTCTTGTGCCCGGGCCCTGATGCAGTCGAGCTGTCCGAGGCAGGATTTGAGGGTATGATGAGAAGTTCGCGGTCATAGGCTGCTTTGCAGCTGGTCTGAGAAAGGGCCTGAAACCACTCCCTTGTCAGCCACTATAGGGCTGGCCAAGGATTCTGGAGCCAGGACCAGCCAGGTTCCTTGTTTTCTGGATGCGTTTGGTTCTTCACCAGCCTGAGCCCATCCTCGCTTGCAGGTGCCGGACTCCAAGTCGCTGATTCTCATTGATGGCACATGGCGCCAGGCGCAGTTGCGGGTTGCCTTGTGCTTTGCCAGCGTAGAACCAAGCGCAAAGCCTCGGACGAGAGCTTCGGGGCCCAAGTCCGGCAGTTTGTTGGTAACTAGCTGACTAGAAAAGGAGCCACAGTAAGCCAACAAAACAGCGTTCAGCGTTTGCCCTAAGCAGTGGTCTCGTCGCGAGGCCAAGTCCATGGTCTCGCGCTCCGAGTGGCTGCGGCAACATGTGCCGCGCGGGGTCATCAGGCAGGGCGCCAGGTCCAGATGCATCCGACGACCGCGCCGTGCGTGGAGTCTCGATGTCCAAGTTGTTGGTTGCAACCACCAACGCAGCAAGTCTGTGTCGGTTCTTAGAGCATAAGACTGATTTCTGGAATTCCAGTGTGTATTGTTTTTTTTTGCCGTAGGTGCACTGCCAGGAAACGCCGCTTGGTCCCTTCAAAGATACCTGGGGCCTTCAAAAATCTCCGCCTTTGCTGGCTGGATCCCAATCCAATTGCCTGTAAAACACATGTTTTTTGGATGTGTCCTTTAAGGATTCCAGTGTTTTGGAGTCAGTGACCGCGACAACCGAAATTCAATCTCCACTGTGATGCTGGAATTGAGTGTTTTCTGTTTTTTGGATAGGGCAAACGTGGGGTCATGGACTGGTCATGATGATGGCCTCGGCCATGATTAAAGAATTATATGGGAATTTGGTGAGTAAACCTAGTTGGAGAGTGTGCTCCTGGCCATCTTTTGGCGGGGGTAGAAACAGCTCAAAGTTGAGCAATGGCCACCGGCAGTGTGCGTTAATCAACTTGGCTCTCCAGGTGGAGAGCGGGCTGAAAGCAAACAGCGACACTTTGCCTGCCTTCCAAAAACCCTTGAAATCAGGCGGGCATCGCCTTTGGAGGGCTTGCTTTGGTCTGTGGATGTCGCTGAAGCATGGCTTTCGAAGGCGAAGTGTGAACAGATAGGAATCGTCCAACTTCAGCTGCAATGTGCCGAGGCAACCCACCAGGGCAAACGAAAGTTTCAAGTATTCTCACAGCTGAAACGATTCAAGAGGAATTCCAAGATGGTCCGTTTGGTAGTATGATGCACATGTTGGCGCATTAGACGGCTTACAGGTGAGAAAATGTCGGGGAATTCCTTCGAAGTGCCAGTTCATGTAAAGCTAAAAACAACAACCAGCGGAACTTTCGAATGGTTCCATACATGTCCCACGTTGAAACCATTCCGAACAGGAGCCTCCAGTTTTGTCATCCCATCGTAGGCCCCAGGGCTACAGCGGCTACCGCTTTCGAAAGCAGCCAGAGCAGGGCTGCCTCTCGACCCTGGAGGCTGTTGCCGAGGCTCAGGGATCGGTGTTCACAATTGAAGGGATCAAGCGGGTAGAACCAAAAGTCAATGGTATGGGGGATTGCTCGATTGCCTCTTGGACAGTACCGTTGGGGTGTTGGGAGGTGGCAAGTTGTTTTTTTCTTGAGGGCAATCCTTCTTGGGGTGCCTGAAGGGACACCAAAGGTGGAAAGGTTGATTTTTGTTGCTGGAGGACGACTTTGCAACGTGTGCCATGCTGTGTTGCAAAGGCTTTGCTGTTTGACTGCAATTTCAGGACTGCAAGAGTGGCAACGCAGTGTTTCCTGGCGAGCAGCTTCCGTCATGCTATGGCATGCACTTTGCCACATGCCATTGGTAATCCACAAGTTGTGAAGTCACAGCCTTCACTGACAGTGGCTGCACACAATCTTCATGAGAGCCGTGTGAACAGCATAAAACGGACCAAGCAAGGAGCATGTTGCAGTTTGCAAGTGGACCTGGCAAAGCAATGTTTAGCTTGGCGAACGTCTATGCTCGCGGTAGAACGTTGCCGCAAATCTCACATCCAGCCCTTGGGACGACGGGCCTGTCCTGAAAAACGAACAGAGTTCCACCCGTGATCTCCAGGCGCTGCTGGCCCTGGAAGGCCCCAGGGGCCCCGAGCTCAAGGCGCGACGCGAGCCATTTGCCCAAGTGCCGCATTCGTACGGGAATTAAACATCGCTTGTGGAACTCGAGACAGATGGCCACATATGCAGTGTGGAAGAGCGCTGATGTAGTTACACTGGTTTGTGGTCGCATTTGGTTTAAGCAAATGCATCCCCACAACTGTCGAAGTATGGAATGAATTGGAATGCAGCAGTTGCCTACCAACTTTCAGCACCCCGGGGAGGGAGTCATCTCTTGTTAGGCTTTACCTGTTTACATGCGGTGTGGCTTGACTGCTTCTGTTGAGGATATGAAACGGATCAACAAATGCCCTCCTTTTCCACCCTGCCCGGAAAAAAGTGGTGCACCATACACCCGCTATACCTGGCTTGTCTATATTACATCATCCACAGCCACACTTTGTGGTTGAAGTTGTCTTAGCATTGCAGGCAAGTGGTGAAATGGACGTGCCGTGACACTTTGCCGTGATCGCTGGTTGTTGTTCATGTTCCGCGAGGAAAGCATCACTGCCAATGTAAATCACAATGCTGACCGTTGTGTGGAGCTCCGGCTTCCTTCTCCACAGATTGGCGCATTGTTTGCGGCGTTTGCTCCCTTGATACTGCAGAGAGATCAAGCAGTGGTGTCAGTGGACATATTCCCAGCTTCGATGCACCAAAGCATCTTCAACATCCGGCCAATCGACTCCTTGCAAGATTGCTGCCAGCCCGTGGTGCTCAAGGCTAAGAATGTCCAAGTTGGTGACATCAGATCGCCGCCACCCGTGGATTCAAGATCCAATTGCTGCCAGGACATGCTGCTGGCGCCCTTCGCACGACGCCAGGCAGCAAGCTGAGTAGGTGTTTGTGTAACATAAAGCGAGCGATTTTCGCACTTCAATTCAATGGTCTGGGGAATGGATGAAGTGCCTCACGTGCTCAGTTCAGAAACGATCAATGCCAATGCATCGAACTTACTCTTCCAGGTGGTCAGGAACATCCTTAGAGTTGCATCTTCCATTCACTATCAAGCTATTGTGATGCTGTTGACCCTGTTGCTGAAGATGCGAAGTACATTAGCTTCTGACTTGTGGCAGCCGCAAGTCAGTCAATTGCCGAAGCTTTTTGCCGGGAGCAGCAGGGGTGATCTGAATTGGACTGATCACAGAAGCGGTGATGTTGATTCCCGAGGCATGGTCGAAATGCAGTGCTCCTTCATTGGAGATGTGGCGGACAAGAACACGCCTTGCGAGCAGACTTCTTGCCCCTTCGATCCGGAGGCGACTTTGGGACCCACTTCAGATGAGCCATATCCAATGTGTTGCAAATCTTTACACTGGCAGGATGCCCAGTGGGGGGATGTAACCGGGCGCTCTTCTTAGCAGACTGTTGAACTAATTGGTGCTTTTCGATTCTTTATGGGGGTTGGCACAACTATTATTAAAATGTATGATGCCACTCCCACTTTCATTTCTTCAGCTCGATCTATGTTTCTTTTTGTTTTATGCATGTGATTGGATGAAACTACAAGGCTGTCAGCGCTTTGTGACAGTACGTGAATGTGATGCATGAGAAGCCAGTGCTGCTAGCTGTTCTATGTCCAGGGCTGCCACTCTACCATAAAGATTATGCCCCATGATGTGTGATTGTCGGAACAGGTTTCGAAGGTAGATTATGAAGAGTGGCATCCCTTGTTTGTACGTGACCTTCGCTGATTTGCCCGCCATGTTGGAAGAGCATGCCTCAATGAATTCGGGTGCTGCTTGTTTGCGTGTGTGTGTGTGTGTGTGCGATGTGTGCCCCTTTGCCTTTGCTGAGTTGACCAGCATGGTCACAAACCCAAGGCCGACACGGGAGTTGCTCAGCCATGTTATGTGAACCTTCATGTTCAGATTACGGCTGCGAGTTTGAATGGTGTTCCATTTCTGGGTGTGTACCCCCAGTTGCGGCAGGCAGCTCTGATGCAGCTTCAGGAAAGAGAGGCTGCGGAGGCGAGGGAAGGGGCGGGCAGAGCAACCAAAGATTGGATGGCTGCATGGTCAGTAGAAATTCTTTCAGCCATGTTGTGACGTAGTCTTTCTTTTGGATTCAAGCGCGTTCATGTTCGCTTCACCTCTGGAACGCATTGCTGCGTGCAAATGTCTCAATGTAAATTTGAAAGACCCAACAAATCATGCGCATTTGCAGCTAGAGAGGCACCTGCCACTGAGACTCAGCCGGGAATCTCGCTGGAGGCCAAGCCTGGAGCCGATGAGGAGGTGTACTGCAGCCCGGCGGGGATGAGGGAACTGAAAGGGGCCCCTGCTTGGTGGCCAATCCATCTTTGCGCTGGGGGCCCAGGGGCACTCTGGGTGGGGAACAGTCCCATGAATTGGCGCCGATGCATTGCTAGACACAGATTTTGAAGACGGCTCAGATTTCCCTGCTTGATGGTTTTCAAAATTACCTTTTGTGATTAAATCCAGGGAATTGCGGAATTCAGATGTATCGGAGCATTGAGATGGCACCTGGGCATGTCTTCATGCTTGTGCCACTTGGTATGCCCCCCCCCAAAGATTCACTTACATGTTTTTGTCTTGGATGGGTATTCCGACCACCCGTGAGACTTGACGATCTCAAGGGGCCGGAGTTGCCTCAGGCATCCTCCGTTGGGGCGAACGAGCCTTGGAGCGGCCGGTGATCGTCGTGGAACTGATCCGCTCCTCTTCCAGCGATGCTGCCAAGAGGCGCGCGCAGGAGCGGCATGGTGAGATGCCTGCGAAGTGGGGCAGCGTTTGCTCCAGAGATCATCGCTCGATTTAGCTGAAAGTTTCAGAGGGGCCCCAGTGTTTCTATGAGTGCAGATTCCCAGGTCAGGTGATTGCATTTACCAAGAAGCGCCGGGCATTTCTGTCTAGTACCTTTAGAGGCTGTTCAATTGGTGCGTAGTGACCTAGTGGCTTTCATGAACCTGTAGCCGTCACTTGAAAGATGAACGTCCTTCGCGAGGGAGCTTTTGTCAGGTTCCACCCCTTTCACACGGAGAAAGCGGCTGCATGCAAAAGTCAAGACTGCAACAAGAGGTTGCTAAAGTCTGAGTGTCGTGTGATGTTACAAATGGGTCAAAATGAATGATTCAAAGTGGCGGTGACAAAGCGCAGTTTGACACTAAGTGATTTTGGACGGAATTTTCAGTATTGCTTGGCTTTGCGACGGCATGTCGCAGTCCGGTTCTTGCTTGTGTTGACCCACCTATTGGATCAAGTACACAAAACAAAACAAAAACATGAACAGAAAGCCTTCCAGAGTCACCCAAAGTATTGCTTTGCCTCGCTGCCTTGCCTTTCGACACGCGTTCCTTTGGGCAAGGTTGCTGGAAGCGCATTTGCCAATCTTTCCCCATTTCTCTTGTTCAAGGAACAATCACTTGGAACATCGATCTGCCCCTTGATTTCGCGACTTCTCCTTTGGAACCGAGCATTGCTTTGTACTTGAATCCTTTGAGCCCTTTGGCCCCCCATGAAACCCCCCCATGAAACCCCCCCATGAACCCCCCCATTGAAACCCCCCCCATGAACCCCGCTTGAACCTTGTTTTACACTTTCCCGCATAAAACGCTCCCGCCCCGAGCCACGAGTCGGGTGTAGGAGCTGTCGCTCGGGCGGCCGAAGGGCAGCCGCTGCTGGTTCCGCCTGCTGTCGCAAGTGCCTCCCGGAGCGCTCTGGGAGGCGTGGCTCTTGGGTCGCAGCGGCGGGACGTGGGGTGAGCACAGGTGCTGTGACGTTGGCCACCCATTGTCTAACTTGTTCTTCTATAGTTGGTGCCTGACACAAGCTAGACACATGTAATAGTGAAGATGTGTTAATTCTTATTTCTTTGTGACCCGTTGGTATGTTTCAGCTTCTAGAGAGTGGTTGAGTGGAGAACAGCAGGGCGAGCGGTGGCATCCCGAACCCCATGCATATTTTGTTGTTTGGCGGACAGCCAAACAGTCAATCGTGGGGACATCAGAACATGAGCACCCGACAAAGGTGTCAATGAAGAGACCTTGGGGCCAGGTGCCAGCTGGCGACGCTGGCGACGAGGCCCGGCTAGCCGGAAGGTGACACGAGGGTCAAAACACTTGGCGCATGTGCTTGCGTGTTTTTGGTTGCGTCTTTGTTTCTTTGGCTCGTTGTTTGTTGCTGGGGTGCTTGCTTGCAGTTTGCTTGCATGCTTGCTTGCATGCTTGTCTGCATGCTTGCTTGCAGGAAAGCACTGGAATCGTATTAGCTTGTCATTCTGTGTGCAAACTTTGTTTAACAGCTTTGCTTCCAGGCATGCAAGGTGCAATTTCATCAGACATATAGAATGAATGAGATAATATAGTCCAATTGCCAGCCACAGCGGCACAAGTTACACACACGGCGCGTAATCCTCAGTGGATAATTACGCATTGACTGAAGTGCTCGGACCTCTTTTGGTTGCTTAATTTGCACGGCTTCCGTTGTCGCAATCGGAATCGCAGCCCAGGAGGAAGAGACATGAGTGCTCCCAAAGGCGCAGGAGCCACGGCAGTGGCTGTTGAAATCAGCTTGGAACGGCATGGCGGCACGCGCCCCTCAAAATCAACGAAGGAAAAGGTCCATATTGTCCGAACCAGCCCCTTGTTCCCACAACCTGCTGCTGGATTGCCGGAGCAACTGTTTTCAAATTGCGCTCTGGGTTCATCATTGCTTGAAGTGCAACCTGTTCGATTTTACCGGAATCCAGACCTGTGAATCATGCCTATGCCTCAGAGTAGAAGTAGGCGCCTTAAGTCAGCTGTGCCATACCGGTGGCACGAGCTGCTCATGGTGCAGAAACTCGTGCTGAAGCGTAAGGACAGCTTGCCTAGGGCAGAACTCTCAGAACTGCCAGATTTTGTACAGAGCTCTTCTGGCTTTGAGTCAAAACAAGCGGCGCTTGCTGGGCCTTCGCTTTGGCATAGAAGTGGACACTGGGCCACTGGGCCTTTGATTGCAGAAGGAAGGTTGTCTACCAGAAGGATCCGTCAGCTCCCACAGAGGTTTGTAGCAGGATATTTGTCCAGGTGGCACTGAGCGCTGGATCGTGAGTTGTTTGCTCACCACATAGCAGCATACTGCTGGACATGTTGAGCAGAAAGGTGAGGCGGATGAAGAGGCATACTGTAGCGGAGAAAGCCGTACTAGTATGCGCAAAGGAAATCCGTACATTTGGGAGGCCAATGCACAGGTGATTCACACAGGCGGCTTCTGGGCAGTGCGTGTGGCAAAAACCAATTGACGCTCAACCTGACTGATCTTTCTGAAGGCCGGTCGGTTGTTTGTTGTGGAACTCAGGGGGATGTGCAATTTTTGAAGTTTCATGTGTTTCACCTCAGACTGCAACACCAAGCTAGAAATTGGGCCAGCCAGAAGACCTGGACAAGTGCACGGCATCGGTCTCTTGCAATGTTCAGGAACTCAACCAGGCGAACTGAGCAGCACTTGTGCCTACCTTTGCGTGTTCCAATACAAGCCCCAGAAAGCTAGGCGGCAGTGTTGACCAGACCATGGTGGACAATTGGGTTTGGTGTTGCCAGTTTCCGTTCCAGAGAATCGTTTCAGTGATAAGGTAGTCATGGAAAGCAACCAGGTTGGCTGGAGTGCAAGAAAGGGTCGTGCTCCAGAACGTCTCACATCCCTGGACCAGACCCAGAAACCGAAATGGGTGTGGCTCAAAATTAAACAGGAAGGGTTACGCAGGTTTTGGTCCATGTTTCCACTTACCAGGGCAATCCATTTTGGAATTCCGGTTTTTGGAGCAGCTGAATGTGACAAAGTCGGCCAGTTCGGCCCCAGGTCCTCAGGGCCAGACGGCCCAGCCGACCAGCCAGCCGAAAGTGAGTCAGCCACAGCCAAAGCCGACACAGGCGCGGGGCCTGCGCAGAGGGAAACGATGGTTGTTGCGGTTGTTGCAAAGAGCAGACAAGGGGGTTTCACAATTCCTATCTCGATTTGTCAAGTTTGAAATTTTGACAGCCAATTCGTTCTGCGTCTGGATTGTTTGTAAACTATGTGCAGATATGTGTGGGCAAGGGGAGGCCTGTTGACCTGGATGCCATGTGATTCCCCTCATCCTTGACTGAAAGCTATTGCCGGGTGCTGACACAGGCTGCGTCGGCGTTTCGGCATGAATGGACAAATTCCACACTTGACGCAAAGCGGGCGAGAGAAATGTGTGCTTTGGAACAAGGCTCAAGTCAAGACAAGCAAAGCAACGCGTATGTCCTGTGAGTATAGTGTTGCCACATACTGACGTCGTAGTGATGCGGCATGCACAACGTGCCTGCCCCAGCTGCTCTGGTCATCGTTGACCATTTCAACAAAGTAATGTTTATCTTCACGCACCTGGCACACAGGTTGCGAGCAGGGAGCGTGCAATCCTTGCAATTAAAGTTGCCAGGCATCCTGATAAGCATGGAGTGCAGTAAAACAGTTGCATCAACATGAGCAGTCATTGCTTTGATCCAAAAGGTCATTGGTGTTTGAGGCAAAAGGCAGGAGGTCCTGGCTTGGAGGCAGAGTCATGAAGATTCTTTGGTATCATGTTGGTTGCAGGTGGACGCCAAGAAGGGTCGGAGCCCTGGCTAGGGGGCTGAGCTTCTTCACACTATACCCTTGCGCAGCTGAATAGATTCGGCTTATTTGGGCCAGACTCTTGGGTTGTGCGATTGTGCGAGCTACACCAGGCTTCAGCCCCAAACCCAAATGGGTTCAACCCGCGAGCTGCCGCTTCACTTTTTGTTTTCTCCCCAGGCTAAGGGAGCAGCGGCATCGATGTATGAAGTTTGATGTCCACACGAAAGCAAGACAGGTTCAAGCGCAAAGTGCCAGCACCTTTGCTTCGCTTTTTGCTCTTCGAATTGTTTGTTTTTGGTTGTGGCCGAGCCGCCAAACACTCAATCATCACATGATGAGATCTGCTCGACTTTGGGTAGATCAAGCTTCAGGCAGAGATTTCCATGTGATCCGTGGTCAAAAAAACAGGCAGCAGTGCAGACCATCGGAATTAGCAGCCACGCAACTTTTGTTGCCATTGGTTTAGGAAAGCCCCGGACATGCCTCACTGAATGTGCACAGACTTATTTGGTGTGTGGCTTTTCCGCATTTGTCGGGCGCAAAGCCGACCTGGCCCCAGCGCGACACTGACTGGGCATGTCATTGGAGGCTGACATTTGAGACTTGTTATGTCTCAGAGACCAGACAGACTTGCGACATTTCCACATGTGCAGCTTCATGGTTTCATCCCTTTGCCTGGCCAGGTGCCGGCAAGGGCGCGCGGGCCAAGACAGATAGTTTGTTTTTCTTCGAAAGTTTCGGGTCCAGCACTTTGTTGTGTGCTTTCAGAATCGTTGCAAACACTAGAATCAGCGCCAGTCGCAAAGAAAAGGGCAAGATGTTTGGCCTACGACATGTGTGGAATGTGTTCCCTAAGTTATGTTGGTTTCTGATGGCTTCCCTTCGCAGTTGTTTGAGCACAGAGGCTGCCAAGCACTTTGAAGCGGTCTGGCAAGTATTGGCCCTTTCGTGGGGATGCCAAATTCTCCAAAGAATCCCGCCCACCTCTGCTGTGTATTTGTGTGTGTGTGTGCGCGTTGCTGGCTAGTGCTCTGAGGTGGCAAGCGAGGAGGAGGAGGAGGAGGAACTGGAGGCGCGCAAAGCTGGGGCCGGGCACCGGTGAGTGGCAGAAGCATACACCCGCCCAGTCGTCGAGAAGTGTTGTCATGGAAGCCTTGAGCCATCCAAGTCAATCACACGGGTTTTGTGTGCATCATGCCCCAATCCAGGAAAATCTGTTGACAATACCCGTGCCCCAAGGCTTAAACAGAGACCTGGATGGCCCGGAGTCGCACACCTGAGACGTTCTGCTGCCAGGCGGCAAGTACCTTTGCCGTGTGAAGGTGGGCATCGAGGAAGACTCCGCCTTCCAGGCCGGCCTTCCCAGAGCTTCGAGTTCCGGATTGTCCGCTGCGCCCCGATGTCTCAGTTGCGATTCGCCTCCATTTGCCTTTCGCTTAGCTGCCTGTGAATTTCCTCCATGAGTCTTCTCGTTTATTTGCTGTGCGCTCTGCTTGCTTTCTTTCCGCTTTGTCTCCCCTCGGTTCTGCTCGCCCTAAGCGCCCATGATGCTCACTTTCCGCAAGTTGCAAATCTTGCGCGCCCAGTCTTTGCTTCGGCTTGGTTAGCTTGCGTCCGCAGCTGAGTGCTGAGAGCTTCCTGAAAAAGCAGGAACCTTTTTCAAGCATCCAGGAGCGGGTCGCTGCGGCAAAACGCAGGTGCAGCCACACCAACACTGCTGGTGGAGGACCCAAACAAGCACTGAAGGGATGCTGAGCCATGCGTATGAGTCGGAGAGTCATGCCATGCTATGCACGGTATCCACTCATTGGACAAATCTAGGCAGGCAGGCTGAAGACTCTAGACTTCTTTTGGCGGGGCCCGCATTTGCACTGCCTGCACTGGACATGGAGCATGAGGATCAGAGGTGACTTCCCAGAACCCTTCATCCAATGGTTTTCATCGCGTGTGTACAAGGACCGTTGTAGCTTCAGGTGGGATGTGCGAACTGCTTGTCAAAGGCTGTAACATGAAGTCCAGCCAGCGCAAGACTTCAAGCCCCTCGGCGCGATGCTGGCTCGCAGGTGTGCAGGCGCATCATTGGCCCCGGAGGCGAGAACATGAAGCGCCCGGCTGGCCCAGAAGAGGGGGCAAATTGGAAGGGGCAAGCACGGCACGGGGAAAATTGGGGCCTGGGCCTAAGGCTTGGGATGGCCCACTTTGGTGTCGAAGGATCTGACCACATCCAGCAGGGCCAGCGACGGTTAAGTCTCACATTGCTATGTTTTAGACGTTGAGCCTTGAAACTGTCCTGTTCCAAGAAGCTGTTTGCGGCTTGTTGAGGTATCTACCCGGGCGTGTGCCACAGCATACACACGCAAAAGACAAGTACATGGGCAAAGGAATTGCACTCTGAGCATAGGAGGAGGTCCCTGACCTTCGAACATGAAACTGGTGCCTGTAAGGCGAGGCCACATTACTATGCCGCCATGGTTTGAACTGCATGCATGAGCTGAGAACCGCAACCACTGGTGGCTGCCAGGCTGCCTCTTAGATGTAACGGGCACCCTGACCTAAGAAGCTATGGCCTGAGTTTCAAGGAGTGCACATGTTAACGCTGTGCACAAGACCAAGAATTTGCACAGGTCCGCAGTGACATCCATCCCCACATCACCCCCTTGTTGAGTCCTTTCCCTAATCAATGCATGGGGGAGGCGGCGGCACTTATCCATGAAGGGGTACTTTCCATACTGTTTCCTTGGTTGTCCAAGTAGCACCATGTTTCTTGAGGAGCGGTGCATGATCGCCAGTCAGACATCAAAGTCCTTTAGTCATCTTTAGTCCGAAACCAGTTGGCCCTTGAACCAGTCGTCCCGTAAACAAGAGTGCCATGTCAAAAGCCTGCCGCTGCTTTTGACCGAGTGCTTAATCATTCATCTCCACCACCCTCAGTATGGTTGAGAATTGGAGTCGATTTTGCAAGCATCATCCTTAAGGACCTTCATTTTCCGGCACCATTCCCTGGAAGGCATTCCGGTTCCGGCGACCCGAGGCATCATCGAGGCCACCGGCAGCGACGGATCTGTGAAGATCCGGCTCCGCGGCCGAGGCTCCAAGCCCCGGCCTCGGGACCGCAGGTGGTATGGTCCAATGGTTTGCTTTGATGATTTCATGGTTCGGTTTGGTGCTTTGGTTAGAGCGTGCTTCCCTTTGGCTTCAAAAGAAACTGGGGTTCACCCCTGAAATAAAGCAGCAGCAATGCAAACCACCAGTTAAGGGGCACCTGATCATTGGTCAAGTTAGGTCATTTGGTAGGACACCAGTTGCGAAGAATCCCGTTTGTCGCAGACTTCACGGAGCCCAACTGGTTTTGATATTGCTCAGACTTGTCGGTGAGTTCTGGTGTCCTCGAGGTACCTGGAAGGCCCCGAGCACAAAGAGTCCACCGACGAGCTGATGCTTTGCATCAGTGCCACCAACAGGCGCGCTGGGTTCGACCCCTGACCAGGGTTGCTCGTTTAAGACCGGATTGGAACCACCTCGTTTTGGACATGACATGTTTCGAGGCAGAGACAATGCCATGTTCGATGCAAGATATTTGATACTGAGCTTGGCATTGGTACCGCTTCTGCTTCACGGTGACTTGCGAGTACTGGACACTAACCTTTCAGACGTCAGCCGACCTTTTGGTTTGCCGGTTTTGGTCGAGTGACAGCAAGAGGCCAGTGGATTTCAAGGCCGCTGAAACTGAATTGCGCTGCAGGGGGGTGTAGTTCCCTTTTCGGCATTAGTCATGGCCTCAAAGAGGCACCTTGCTTTCCAGGTGAGTGTATTGAAACTTGGGGGGTCATGGCTTTCTCGAGGGAAACCGAGAGAAGACCAACACATGTCAAGGGGCCGGCCTGTCTTTGAAAGCTTCCCATGCCACATTATGGGCATTCTTAAAAATGGTGGAACCCTTCTTGGGGTTTGGGAAAAACGTGCTTTGGGCCAGTCCGCCTCAGGCGCTCCTTCGAAAAGGCGGCCAGCCATGTGGAGGGCTTGATTAGGTCAGTGCAGCAGGACTGCCGCGTCACCTGCCGCATTCGGCGCCAGATGTTTGTTGAAGGTATAGTCCTCGTTTTCGGGTGATTTTGACGTCGATGTTTGGCTGCCTCAAACGTTTGAGGTTACCTTCTTTTGGCGGGATTGTTTGATGAAAGGGGACATAATACAAGGAATGGCCATTTCATGCTAACTTTGCGGGTGTTCTGGCCATGTTGGATGTATCCAACGCGTGCTTCGCGTACTACGCTTGTACTGATAAGTTGCGATTTGCGAGCTGCGTTCGCGCCGGAAAGGCCTGCGCAATTGTGGCGTGCAACAAATGTTGCCAAGCACAGTTTGCGTACTACTCGCGTAAGCCCCGCCATTAGACACTTGCACACGTAAGCTGACTGTGCGCGCGCGTAAGCGTTGGTGCAAAAAACTTGTTGCCGCGTAGGAATCCATCGGTGTTTTTAGCATGTGACTCGCGTTGTTGACCCACTGCGCGATTACGCGCCTCTTGGCACTCTTCCTTTGTTCTGGTTGGTGCCGTTGAACTCACTTGAAGTCTCTGTAACTTGTTCTTTGGGTATCTGTCTGTGTGGCGCCGTTCTGCGCGCGTATCTCTACAAATATATATATATATATATATATATAAATATGTATGTGCGTCACGCGTCTAGTTTTTTGGGTTTTGTGTGCGTGTCTCTTCTCTACACGCCTCTGTGGGCGTTTGTGTGTGTGGGCGGGGGTCTTTAATTGCAGGCATCTCTGCACGCGTGTCTTTGCGCACGTGTGTGTGTCTCCATGTGCCTTTGTGTGTTTTGTTGTGTTTTCCTTCTGCGTACTGTGGGTGTCTCTCTGTGTCTTGGTTTGTGTGGTTTGTTTCTCTTCTTCCCTCGTCCTTTCTTCCTTTCTTCCTTCCTTCCTTTCTTCATTTCTTTATTTTTTTTTTTCTTCTCCCGTTTTCTTTCTTTGTGCCTCTGTGTTTGCGTGTTTGTTTGTTCGTTTTTGTGCTAAGGTTGTTTGTTCCTGCATCTCTCTATTTAGTTCTCCGTATGCCATGCGTGCCGTTGGAAGGGTTGGTTGTCTAGTGCCTGCCCAGGACTACGCAGCGTTTTGCCAGGCCTGATTTGACAGTCGCGCAGACGTCAATTTGGAGGAGGATGTGGTTGTTCAACCTATCATGCCGCCCGCCCCCCCCCCCCCCCCCTCAATGCTTCTTAGCTGTTTGATGGTGAGGCACCTGTCATGGTGTTTGCTGCAACTGCGTCAAGAGGAGCAATCAAGCAACAATAGTCAAGACAAGGCACAAGTTTCAAGCAGCCTCCCTCTTGTTGGAACAGTTGGGACGGGACAGCGTCAAGCAACATGGTTCGTGGCAACAAACCATATGGTACATTTTTTCAGGTTGAACTACTCGCACTTAGCACTTGGGCTGAAACCACTACTGCTGTCTTGGGCTTGAAACATTGCAGTTGAGACAGCTCAGTTTTCAACAGAAACGTGTTTTTTTTTGTGTTGCGTCACGTGGTCTGGTAATGAATGTAGTGAAGGGTGTCTACAGACCGAGTATGATTCCGGCATTAAATCGTGTAAGACGGGAATTGGAGGAGAGAGACACTTTTTGACATTGCTGCTGCATTTTCTGCCAATGTGTGTTCTGTTTTGGGGGGCTGTTCTTTGTTCCTACCCCAAACCAGGTGAATGCAGGCCAGTTAGAGGCTATGCGGCAAAAACATGCCAGGGATATTCTTCAGCCTTTGACGGTCATGTAATCCCTTGACACAGAGACAAACAGTTGCTTGTTTTGCCAGGCGAACATTTTGAATCACAATACCTGATTACTCTGAAAACAACTTGAGCATGACTCAGTTTGGAGCCCTCGAAAGAGATGAGTGTGCTGCTATGAGCAAGCTAATAGACCAAAAGCTAATTTTGCACCTCATCTTCAAGCAGGTCAAGCATACACTTCCCCGGTTTAGGCCCTTTCAATGTTTTTTCGTTTCTTCTTTGTGGCCGCAACAAATCCCCCACGTCCCTTGCCCGCCAGAGCCGGGGACTGCCCTTGCCCCTGCTGGACGTCAAGCGCGAAGCACAACGCTCGCGCTGAGGCCGTTTGGGGCCCGTTTTGGTTGCGATCGGTCTTCACAAAGGGATTGGTCAACAGGAATGAGATTTGTTTTTTTTGATTGACGCCATCTTGAAACAAGCGATTGGCTGAACACTTGTTATCCACGCCACCCAGGTCCTCTTTTCAAGCGAGTACGCGAATCTAGCCGTTCTGAAATTCCAATACGCTCTATCTGGGCATTCAATAGATGGTTTCGTGCCAGAGGAATGCATTGAGTCGGACTTGGTGGAATAGATGTTGCCGGGATTCTTGAATATGATTTAAATCTAGATTTGTGCAGCTAACCATGTCTCAAACACAAGTTAGACATTGCAGATGCGGTTGCTAGATCTATATTCAGAACCTTTTGTGTCCAAGCGACTAGATCATCTCTACACCGCCAAGTTTGGACTAGCACTGGCATTGTTCCTCTTTGCCTAGTTGCCTCCCTACTAAACAAGAAAACATATTCGCAACAAAGAGTGTTTTTCCACGGCCATTGTTCAACTACGCCATTGATGAATCCCAGTAAGGGCAGCTTGCTGTCAGTCAAATATTCCGAGAACGTCCAACTGTTTTCCAACTGCCAGAGGAGTGAGTGCTACTGATGTGTCAGGGGTCTGTTGTTTCTATATAGGGTTGTGATTGAGGCGCGGGAACGCATATCTGCATCAGTCAATGTGAGGCCGTGTCCCATTGCCTGTCCAAAAGCAACCACGCCGGTGGAAAGCGCTTCTGCCACTGACCCTTTCTTGCATCTTTCTTGGACTGCTGGAAACTTGACTGAATCAAGCCCATGTTGCAAGGCCTCTACACAACATGTTCTGTTAAGTCGGGAAGAGGTCACCCCCAGCCCGCAGGAGGTGAGGCAACAGCCCCCTCCCAGCTGCTTCCGCAGGATTCCGCAGTGCCGGAGCCCGCCGGCGGTGCAAGTTTTGGCCCCCACCTCTGGGGCGCTCTCTCGTTGGTCTCTGAGTTTTTCCCAGGTCACCGGGCAGGATTTGCTGTTGCTAACATGCACACCAACCGCATTCATGCAGCAGTCCCGGATTAAGAACATCGCTGAACCCGTGGAACATGTAACCCAATGATCATGCGCAGTGGATAACACGTAAGATCACATGGCATGCAATAGTGTCAGCCACATAACCCGTATCAATCAACAAGACAAGTGGCTGGGCAAGTCATAGCTGCTAATCACCGAATGCGCAAAGGGTCCAGCTGCAGAACAGACCTTGAGCAGATCTGACTATGGTGAATTGCAGGAAAGTCTTATCTAAAACATGCATCCATGTTGATGTCATAGCCAGTGCCTAGCGATTCAGGGTGTTGCTACCCTTGGGAAACACCACCTCAACATCGCTTCTTTTGTGAATATTGTTTTTCGTTCTTCATTTGACGTAATGACTTTCGCTTTCCTGCCAAGCCTGGCTCAGAAGTCAACGCGCAGCTGTCGAGCAAATTGCTACCCACCAGCGAGCAGTGGCCGGGGTGTGGCAAGTGAGACACTGCTGTCTTATGCTGTCACTGGCACTTGGAGTGTGCGACGCATGTGCGATGGGCATTCCAAGCGACTCAGGGATGTAGTCAGTGAGTGAGCAGGCCTTCAGTGCCTGCCGCCCGCACAAGGCAGGGGCACACCAGAGGTGCTTGTCCAGCCTTGAGACATCTTTAAACTGCTTTTTTGTACAGTTACCTCCCCAAACCCTCTTGGGTGGGTCAGGGATCAGATGGTTGATCTCCTCCACTTGCAGCTCAGCTGCCGGTTTCGCCCTGCGGCAAAGCCCAGATGCATCGCTGCAGCTCAGAGGTCAGAGAACCTTGAGTCATGGGCCTGGCCGCGCCACATTGACCGGCCGACCGCAGGAAAGATTACCTCATCCAATTGGCATGGGGAATCGACAGGGCGTTTTTTTGTTTGGCCTGGTCTGCAGAAAAAAGCAATTGGCTTCAGATTGTTTGGTGCACGCCCTGTCAGTGTACAGCACCGGCACGGCAGAATCTGGGTGCTCTGGGGGAGTCATTAGCCGGTTTAGGCAATACAGAGTCTGCCCCATTTTTGAGGGGCAATTGCCTGAGCCTGAGCTGATCTGAGACTGAATATTGTCGCTGTCGGCGCAAGATTTAGGGAAACATGCCAGCTGCCATCAGCGCATGGGACAAGTTTCTTGCGACATAGTTTTGTGCTCATCACAGTTGTTGATTCGTCTTGAAGCCTTGCAGGCGCCCCGGAGAAGCTGTTGTTCGCACAACTGCATGGAGGAACTTGTTCAGCTGTTGCAGCGTTGAAGCGGAAGGATTCCACGGAACGTGTGCATGATGAGTATCCCAAGGCAGAGGCGTCTTTCTTTTTTCTGTGTAAACCTCTTGATTACTTGGCCCATTGCTTATTGGAGGCTGAGCCGGCTGCGTGGATCTGAAAGATGTGCGCCCTCTGTCCAGGGTGAGCTGTCCTGGGACCATGGAGAGGAGACCTGTCAGCAGGCCGGGATGTGCGGACTGAAGGGACCTGTCCAGATGGTTGGGTTTGGTTTGTTCCCCAAACTGTCCCAGATATTCGCACAAACACACAACGGAGCCATACACACGAGGACACGCGCACTCACAGACAGACAGAGACAGACAGAGACAGACAGAGACAGACAGAGACAGACAGAGACAGACAGAGACAGACAGAGACAGACAGAGACACACAGAGACACACAGAGACACACAGAGACAGACAGAGACACACAGAGACAGACACACAGACACACACAGACACACACAGACACACACAGACACACACAGACACACACAGACACACACAGACACACACAGACACACACAGACACACACAGACACACACAGACACACACAGACACACACAGACACACACAGACACACACAGACACACACAGACACACACAGACACACACAGACACACACAGACACACACAGACACACACAGACACACACAGACACACACAGACACACACAGACACACACAGACACACACAGACACACACAGACACACAGCCAAGCCACACAGACAGACAGACAGACAGACAGACAGACAGACAGACAGACAGACAGACAGACAGACAGACAGCCAGACACACAGACACGCAGACACGCAGACACGCAGACCCACAGACACACAGACACGCAGACACCCAGACACACAGACACACAGACACACAGACACACAGACACACAGACACGCAGACACGCAGACACGCAGACACACAGACACACAGACACACAGACACGCAGACACGCAGACACACAGACACACAAACACACAGCCACACAGCCACACAGCCACACAGCCACGCAGCTACGCAGCCACACACACACCACACCACACCACACCACACCACACCACACAACACACACACCCACACGCACACGCACACGCACACGCACACGCACACGCACACGCACACGCACACGCACACGCACACGCACACGCACACGCACACGCACACGCACACGCACACGCGCACGCGCACGCGCACGCGCACGCGCACGCGCACGCGCACGCGCACGCACACGCACACGCACACGCACACGCACACGCACACGCACACGCACACGCACACGCACACGCACACGCACACGCACACGCACACGCACACGCACACGCACACACACGCACACGCACACGCACACGCACACGCACACGCACACGCACACGCACACGCACACGCACGCACGCACACGCACACCACACAACACACAACACACAACACACACACACACACACAACACACAACACACAACACACACACACACACACACACACAACACACACACACAACACACAACACACAACACACAACACACACACACACACAACACAACACACAACACACAACACACAACACACAACACACAACACACAACACACAACACACAACACACAACACACAACACACAACACACAACACACAACACACAACACACAACACACAACACACAACACACAACACAACACACACACACACACACACACCACACACACACACACCCACACA